TTTTTTTTTTTTTTTTTTTTTAGTTTTCATGCACAATAGTAACAGATGCCATAAAGTCGCAAGACTAAACATAACAAAAATATTTGAAAGCAACGCACAGATGTAAATTAAATAAACATAAAACAATCCTTGATGGGAATGGTAATATTGTAAAACTGTCCCCTTCTTTCCAAATGAATCTATAAATTCATTGGAAGCCCAATAAAAATGCGAAGAGTATTATTACTGAGACTTAAAAAATTAATTAACACTACAAATAAAAATGTCCAAAGTGACTGTGAGCAAATAGTAATGAGCAGGGGTTGTAAAGACTTGCTCTTCCAGGAACCCAACAAATTGGAAAGGACTGGCCATTACGTCCGTGAGCCGTGCAGTAAATATATGTAACCGAGAACCTCGGCTGTGCTCAAATTCTCGTTCTACTCTGTGCTTCACTGTCCCCTCAATCGGGTGACAGCGTGTTCGTGCCTTGGTTTCCGTACCTGAAAAAGGAAGCTCGTAGTAGCAGGTGTCTCTGACTCTAAGGGTTGCTGAGAGTTAATGAAATAGTATTTTTAAAATGTTCGCAGCAGTATCTGGTGCCTTGTTAATCGCTGACACATTTAGTTATTTTTCGTTGGGTTAGAAATAATATATTTCATGTTCAGAACCAGAAATCAACTACTTAATAGGGTAATAAATGCAATTTTATTGTACCTGCCATGATTTGAACTAATAATAACATATAGAAAGTAGGCACCATAGCATTTCAAAACAGATTATAATTTACAATATATTGTCCATCAGGGAAATTGTTACGATAATTGTAAAAAACTACTGTTAACACAGTAGACTCTCCTTTCGATGGCCGTAACTCACTCCTATCTGCATAGTTGTACATTGAGCTCAAAGTCTAACTATGAAGTCAATGTGCACAATAGAAATGACAAGGGCAGTGGAGCCCCTGAAATTAAGCTTGAGCGCGGCTTTGCCACCTCTGAACCGTTTCATATCAGGCAGGTAACTGAATTACCCTGAGCTTCAGCTTAAACTACTTAGTGTTTATCAGGCACTAAATGATGGCAGCCATTCTTTTTATAACAAGGATTTTCCACACACAATATTAAATTTTGAGAGAGACCAATTGACCTGAAAAATTGACCTGAAAAATATTTGACCCCCTTAACCAAACTCTACAGCGTTTCTATGTCAGCTTCATTTTTGTTTTGTTTTTTAGACAGATCTCTCAATTATTCTCTACAAATATTTTGAAATAAAAATACATTTGGACCGAATTTTACGTAATTCTTTACCCTATTGCAAATCAAATTGCGTGGTGTGTTGGCGAAAGTCGTCAAAGGAAAGAGCAATGAGCCTCCACGTAAGTGAGCGGCGCACCTCTATGCTTTTGACCCTGCTCTCGGTGACGCGCAGGATTCCCGTGTGGACCAAAGTGGTTTTCGCTTCTCTCTCAAGAGCCTGAATTCCGTCCAGCTTCTCAAGTACCGCGCACCTTGCCCTTTGCACCTGGTCGCTGAGAGTAAGGCTCCCCTCCTCCTCGGCCACAGCTTTCTCGGGCGATTCTGGAGATATTTTTAAAAGCAAAGCATTACTGTGCGTAATTTCGCAGCCCTTAGGAATAACGTTATGTGTTATCAGCCATGCCGCGTTATACATAGCTATGCCTTTCGTATAGCTGTCAAATACAGTGCATCTCAAACCCCAAGCACATCAAGAAAAATTACGTGGCTGGAGAGTGGGTTTCCGCCTTTAGCTCCCTCGGGCGGTCAATGAGCGTTTGCCGGGGGCCGATGGGAGCGGCCGGCACCGTGCGGGGAACGCAAGGACGGCTGAGCCGGAGTGAGACTCGGAAGGTAACTAGGAGTTAAACAGGCGAAAGGGGTGGGGGAGCAGAATTTGACACGTTCACCAAAGAAAGGTTATCGGGTGGGTGGGCGCACTGAGCGCCGGGTGGGTAACGTCAAGAGGATGCTGGAGGAGCGGCGGCCGACCTGGAACGGGCTCGGAGCCGGGTGAGGAATCAGCCCGAGCTGCTGAGGGCTTTCAGCCGGGCAGGAACCGCCTCTGTGCACAGCCCCAAACGCGCAGGACAAGAGGCTGGACCAGAACCAGGGAGACCAGCGCGAGAGCTGCGGCCATTCAAACGACATCGGCCGGGAGAGCGCCCGCGCCCTCAAGGGCAGTGGCGAGACCCCAGAGGGACTCGGCAAATAGGGAAACGGCAGGACCTGGCCACTGGCTGGGTCTGGGTGTAGTGAAGAGCTAGGTGCCCAAGTAGCCTCTAGGCTTCAGCTTGGTCGTAGCTAGGAACAGACTTGGTGGGAGGGGGTAACGGGTTCAATGCAACAGGGAGGTAAGAGAGATCCGGGTTCGAGTCCAACTTGGCCACTTAGTACGAGCCGTGTTGAAGTGGTGCGGGGAGGAAAGCGAAGGGTGCTTGGTGATGTCATTCACTGAGATGCGCAGGGAGGCACAGAGGGCGGGAGGGAGGAGAGGAGAGGGAGATATTAATTGATCTTGGACCTGTTGAGCTGAGACTCAAGCGACCAGGTCCACTAGGCAGTTGGATGTACTGATCCTAAGGCTGAAAAAGAGATTTCAGCAAGAGGAGAGATTTTAAATCCGAGACATGTGAATTGAACCAAAGACATGCTGGGCTCCGCGAATATCAGTATTTACAGGGTACAGAAAGGAGCAGGAGTTGTTGAGAGTGACTCCCTGCTAAGGGTATTTTGTTATTAAGCAGCTCAGGTGGGTTCTGATTGGGTTGGTAAGACTTGATTTTTTTGAGAAAGGACGACGGCTCCTTTTTGATGGGAAAAAGGCGGTTAGAAAGACCTAACGCTTACCGACGCATCGTAAATAACGCCGAAGCCTGCTACCGTTCAACCTCGCCAGATTTGAAGGAAGGGGAAGCTTTGACGTTAAGCTCTGAGAGGCGGGGAGATGGGTTAAGCAGATACACGGTGAACCGAGAGTCAGCCTTCCAAACAAACCGCGAGAAAAACGACCGGATTAAGTCTCTGATCTCGGCCTTAACCTTCGCCGGAGGCCTCCACCTGGAACCTTTAACTGGCGGCACAGCAGCCAAAGGAGGGCGAGGCCGCCGCAGGGCCCACTGCGACCCCTCTGCCTGCGGGCGCCGCCCTCGGGACTCGCTCAGCCCACGTTCATGTCATCAGCCAATTTCCTCAGGACCTGTTCCCAACGTCTTGGTCGCAGCTCGACATGACTCTACACAAGATCCCGACTCACGTCAACGTTCTCCTAAAACCGCACAGAGCTTAGGGAGCACGAAACAGGGAGCGCGTGGTACCCGCTGCCAGAGCCACGAGCCACCAAGGCCGCCCAGACCCACGGAGCCAGCGGAGCTCTTAGGTCAGCTGCTGCCTGTGTCACTTTGCAAAACTCGGTGTTTCTAAAGAACTTGACGGGAAAATGAATAGAATGTAACAGCCTCTCTGAAAAAAACACCAAAACACCTTTGAGCTAACTAAGGGCCGGAGGCCACGGCCCGTGGACCGGACCCAAAGGTGCCACTCCCCGAGCCACAGTGAAGGCGGGCAGACGTGGCCCGCGGCCAGGGCGCACCTGCGCTGTCCCGAGCCCACCTGCACTGTCCCGAGCCCACCTGCGCTGTCCCGAGCCCACCTGCGCTGTCCCGAGCCCACCTGCGCTGTCCCGAGCGCACCTGCGCTGTCCCGAGCCCACCTGCGCTGTCCCGAGCCCACCTGCGCTGTCCCGAACGCACCTGCGCTGTCCCGAGCACGCTGCAGCGACCTCTGCTCCTCCTCGAGTGCGCACCTGAGCCTGCGGGGCGNGCACCTGCGCTGTCCCGAGCCCACCTGCGCTGTCCCGAACGCACCTGCGCTGTCCCGAGCACACTGCAGCGACCTCTGCTCCTCCTCGAGTGCGCACCTGAGCCTGCGGGGCGGGGGCAGAAACAGAGATGTTAGAGGCCTGTTCCTGTCTCTCCTTTTGTTTACTTCTTATGTATTTTAGGTCTTTTCTTAACATTGAGAAATTAAAACTAATCTCAGTTTCTAACAAAAAGGTAATTATTAGAAGATGTACATAAAGTGAGAGCCCAAGTCAGTCGAGTTCAATAAGCCGAAGTCGACGTTCTAGCGGCCGCCGCAGAAGCCGCTGTGGAAAGGAGCCTGTGGGGCGTAAAATGAACGACGCCCACAGGGTTTGCTGACGTCCCCGTGTCCCGAGCCCTGAGAAGCAAGGAGGCGGAGCCCTCGCGTCTCACATTCTGGCGCCAGGGAGAAGGCGGGCGGGGCTGCGTCTCCCTCTGAGGGATGGCGCCCCACAGACACGGCCGACAAATGCTGCTGTATCTAAATGGAAAGCGAAACACGAGAGATTCTACAATTAAAAAAATAAAAGCCCTTGTAACCGCTTAGTTTCCTCTTCCTGGCTCGAAATAAACTCAGTCGACTCTCATTTCTAACGGATTTAGAGGGAGGGAAGGAAGGAATCCAGCAGGTGCTGCGAGCACGGGGGAAGCGCTGTGATTCGCTCAGAAGCACCCACACCACCGGTGGCCCATGTCTAGGGGGCCCATCGTCTAGGGGGGCCCATCGTCTAGGGGGGCCCATCGTCTGGCTTCCGCGCGTTCGCTGCTCTCTGACTTCTCCCCGTGTCATCGGGATGCCTATGCTCCGGTTTCAGTGCCGGCTCAGGGCTGTGCTCGTATCCTGAAGTGCCCGTTGGGAATACTCGGTTTCGTGCGGCTTCCGTGGCAGCTCCGTGGCCGGTCCTGTTCTCTGTTTTCTCTGGAGAGCAGCGGACTCTGCAGACAAGACGTTCTCACCCCCGCGCGCCGCGGGCAGGCGGGTGGCCTGGGCCCCGGGTGCGGCTCCTAATGCGAGAGGACAGGCTCTGAGAGTGGCGACTGTCCATGCGAGGTTGCTCGGGGTCCTCTCCTGTTTCGACCTTGATCTGGGCGGCATTTTGGGGAAGGGAGAAGGGGAGGTCGTATCCAGGGGGTGCCCTTCGACTTCTTTCCATTACAAGACTCTGATTCCCTTCCCCGCCGCCTTCAGGCGCATCCTGTCCCCTGTCTTCGCAGCCCCCAGGCCGCCGCGGGCCCTGCCCTCCCCCGCGCCCGGGCCCTCGCGAGGTCTGCAGAGAGGGCGGCCACGGCTCGTCTCTATTTTCAGGTATTTTTAACTTTCAAGGTTTTCTGTCTTCTAGTTACACTGAAGTTACAGGTTTGTTGGAGATTTTTCTTTGTTTTTGTCTCTTGTTCTGTTTTCTTGAGGATTTTTGTGTGCGTTGGATTTCCTTTAACTTTTTTTTAGTCCTTTACAAATCATTTCCTTCTGAAAGGCTAGCGTACAGCGAGGTGAAATGGATTTTGTAGCTTAAAAAACAATAAGGGCTGTCTGGCCGGCGTGGCTCAGTGGTTGAGCATTGAGCTGGGATCCAGATGATCGGGGTTCGATTCCTGATCAGGGCACATGCCCGGGTTGCAGGTTCAATCCCCAGTCGGGGGCGTGCAGGAGGCAGCCGATCAATGACTCTCTCATCGATGTTTCTCCCTCTCTCCCTCTCCCTTCCTCTCTCTGAAATCAATTTTAAAAAAACCCAAAACACAATAAGGTCCTTCATAGAAGGTGTCTTGACTTTGCGGCTCTCTTGCCTATTAAAGTGAGTCCTCAGGGACCACCAGAGAAGACGTGAGCGATACCAGCAACCCCCCCCCCCATAGACGCAC